CGGTTTTCAAAATTTTCAAAATTGGGGGTTTTATCCCCGATAAATGTGCTCGTCATTACAATTTTCTTCGGTCGGGCGGCGGGCGTGGATCGAGCGCTAGTTGCACGGGTCGGGCCGCTATTCATAATTTCCATTGTTTGCACAATCCTGTGAATTGACGATGAATTGTCGATCTCGCCATGACGCCGCAAAGAAAACGTTGTCATTGGTAGAAAATCTGACACCCCGCTGGCGTTTCACAACAAAATTTTCTGTAAACAACTCCGACTTTGTTTACATCGCGAAAGCTCACCGATACAAAGTAAAACTCCCGCCGGCCGGCCGCGCCCGACCACATGGTTGCGGCATGGCGCTAAGTTTTCGGCAGCTCGACGGAAAAATAATCCATCCCCAGAAGAAATGTTACGCATGAAAATAGCAACTACAACTTGTTTTCCTCGTTATATGAGTTTTTGAGGCCGTAAAATGTTTAAAACGGTTGAAATTTGCTCGAAAAAACGGCTCGAAAATTGACGGCGAGAAAGACAACATGGCCGACCTGTTTTCACAATAACAATGGTCAAAGGTCAAGATAGCATCCAAATGTATAGATACATGTAATAAGTACATATTACAGTGCTAAAACGATACTTTAAACGCATGAAAAATATTTTTTTCGGCTACAACTGAAATAAAAATTCACTTATATTTTAGTAAGGTTAATTTTCAAACATTACTGAGAAATTTTCCGAATTTATTGGTTTATTGTGTAATATTTTTGTTTCTATGTATGTGCGGTTGGATGCTGTCATTGTAAAGACCCTTTACATATTGGGAGAATCAGATGAGATATTAGAGATTATCACGCTTAGTACTGTGGCCCGAGTGTCTCTCAAAAATTGTTTTTGAGTGGAGTTTATAAACATGATCACATTTTATTTGTTCAGCTGTGTCAATATGTGATTTGTTTGAGAAATAGGATTTGGTTTAGTTTTAATATATTAATGTCAGTTAACATCTTTGGAATAAATTGCTCCAAGTTCCAGGTAGTAAATACATGTACATTTTGTATCATGTATTTTTCACTTGTTGAACTTGTGGAAGCACCGTTGGCCCCCGGTTAGGGGTCATCCGGGGAACCTATGCCCATTTTTTTCAAAATTAAGGGTGATAATAGAATTTGTTTTGAACATGAGGATAATTAAGTACAGATCTTGAACCTTTCTACTGCCTTATACATCTGCAGTTGTACAGAAAATGTAGAACTGAAGTTGCAGGAAATGACCTCCATTTGTGTTTAGAAAAGACAAAATGCGGAGGGGGGGGGGGGGAAACCCCCTTCCGAGACCTCCCCTTCGCACCCTCCTCCACCCT